GTGCTTTGTGATGATGGACTTCTGATTTGGGGCCACTCTGGCCCTGATCTTCAGACTCTCAGGAGTCATGCTGTCATGCTGTTTCCTTCTGCATCGTATGTATCAAATACGCCTTTTACACAAAATCCTAGCCGCCCTCTCCCACCCACCCCCATTCCCCGCCAAACCAGCACTGCCCTGCACCGGGCTGCCTGCGCACCTGGGGTTTGTGTCCCGACCACAGCCTGCAGGGGCCACGTGCGGGCTTCAGGACGGGAAGGGACAGAGGGGAAGACAAAGGCCTCGCCCAAGCTGCCTGTGAGCACGAGCAGGAGGCAGAACCATCCCCGCCAGCCCAGTTCACAGCTGGGGGGAACGCGCCCCCTTCAGCTCAGGCATGTGGGGGGAGAGGCACAGAACACATGGCCTCAGGGAGCAAAACCCAGCAAGATTCACCTGCTCAGAGTCCGTGCGGACAACACATGCCCATTGCCCACATCCCGAGGGCTGGGTGTTCTGCCCCCAGGAGGCGCTCTCCCCAGTCCTGGGGTCCAGCACACCTCAGGAGTCCTGACCACCCCAGGTGGCCTGACCCTCGGGGCCCTGAATCCTGGCCCCCGTGCCTCCTGGCCCAGGCCAAGCAGCTGGAGTCACAGAGGAGCAGGTGTGGGGGCGGGGCTGGGTGACTGGTGGCCACTGGTGAGAAGTTCAGGCGTGGAGTGGGGGCCCCACCTACACAGGACAAGAGCGAACAGCTGAGCTCAATGAAAGCAGACCCTTGGGGGTACTGTTGCACTGGGGTGATGGGTTTATTTCACACTCGTTGCTTGTGTGCTAACAGAAGGGAGAGCCTGGGGCCTCCAGGCTTAGGGAAGAGTTGGCCTCCCTCCCGGTCTCCAGAGACCCGGCAGGGCCCACCCCAGGCCGGCAGCCCCGGCCCTGCCCTGTTATGGCCTGGGCTGCCCCCCATGGGGTACAGCCTCGCCAGGGGCTGGGTCAGATTTGCACGTCGCCCACATCCAGAGTCCAATGAAGATGAACTGGCTGCACACCACCCCTGCCACGTAGAGCAGAAAGAAGGTGTGGTCGGCAGCCTCGGCCCAGCTCCTCCATGACCCCGCTCCTCCAGGCGCCTCTGTGGGGACAGGCAGGAGCAGGAGCTGCACTCCAGGGCTCCCCCCTCTCCCGGAGCAGGACCCCAGGCACTGGCAGCAGGTTTCTCCCTCCCATGGGTTCCCAGCTAGTGGCCGTGGGCGGGCCCACTGCGGGCCGCCTGCTGAAAGCCTTGTAGAGGCTCCCAAGGCATAGGTCACCATGCAGAGCGGTCACCAGGCCTCGGGGAAGCTCACCTCGCTCCCTGCTCAGACCGGCTGCTCCCAGGGCCGACTAAAGTTCAGGGAGGGGCCAGCAGAGTGAGCTCCAGGGCCCTCCGGCCCAGCGACCCCTCGCCCCACCCCCAGGGGTGCCGCTTGCCAGCTCTGCCATCCAACCAGCTCCCAGCCTCCTTCCTCACCCACCTTCAGGACTCGGCCCTGCCTCCTCATGAGCTTGCTGCTCCCCTCTCGGGGCTGGGCCAGGGCCGCGCTTGGCCCTGAGGTGGTCCCGGGCCAGGACCCCCGCCAGCAGCACGGTCTCCACGGTGCTGACGAAGAGCAGCAGCAGCTGGATGGTGAAGTAGTGAACTGGGGAGGGGCGGGGCCGAGTCAGGGCTCAGGGGGCTGAGCAGGGAAAGGCTGGGCAGCGTGGTCCTGCCCGGGGCCGGGGGAGGGCACGGGGCTTACTGAGCAGTGGGTTGCAGGAGGAGGAGCTGGGCAGCACCTGCACCAGGGAGGAGTGGAAGACGAGGTAGCCCAGCAGCAGGGTCACCTTGTAGGCCATGCGCTCCGGGGCCTGCAGGGGCAGCAGCCCCCCGCACATGTCGGCCAACAGCAGCGCCTCCCCGGGGACCAGCAGAGCCAGGACGGCCTTCAGTGCTGTGTTCTGTAGGTGCAGCTGGAAGGGAAAGGTTGGGGCTTCCTGGGGGGGTGCAGGGGTGGGCAACAGAAGGCCGTCATGCCTCTGGCCCGGCATCCTTCATGCCCCTGCCGCCTTCGTCAGCCACCTGCCGACTCACCTTCACCTGGAAGCAGGGCACCAGCTGCTGGGGCGGGACCTGGGTTTTCAAGTCCCGAAGTACATACTCCCTCTTGACACTCACGATCTCGTTCACCACGTGGGCCTGGAACTCCAGCTCCATCACTGGGGGAGCGGGGGAGAGAGCAGTGAGCTGAGAAATACCACTGTCCCCCATCTCCTGGGGGCAGGGGCAGGGGCAAGCTGGTGCCCAGCGGTGATGGAGACTTCTGGTGGCTCCTGGGCAGACTTGGTGACAGTGGCCCATGCAACGGCTTTCCCAGCCTTATCTCCCCCTCCCCCCTACCCCACCCCCAGTCTTCTCCAGCTAGAGGAAGGGCTTTTTCAGACTCAGACCGATTTCCATTGTAAAAATAAATGCACTTTGCACCACTGCACGGAGGGGGCACCGTTGTGGACTCATCCACCAGTGTCTCATCTCACATCTGAAATACTAGGGCCCCTGGGCGTCTGCTGTGGCATTTCCCGAGGGGACGGGTGTCAGGGAAGGGGGGCCTGCTGCCAAGCTAGACACCACCCGGCGTGTGTGGGGGGCATTGCCTGGGTGGCTACACCTTCAGGATGTCTCCAGGGGTGAGGCCATGGCAACCTGAGCGGGCACCAGCGGCCTGGCCGCTGCACTTGGCCCAGCTGTTGAGGGCAATTGCTTTGCTGGCGAGGCGGCGGGGAGGAGACTGAAGTGGGGCTGGGCGCTGTCTGGGTGGGAGGCGCAGGGTGAGGAGCACGCTCTGCTCCTGGGTGGGTCCAGCTCCCTGAGCCCGGGGCAGATGGGTGTGCACACAGCCCGCCCGGCTGGTCAGCACCCGTGTTGCTGAGGGCGTAGAAGCTGAGGGTGCAGTTGCTCTGGTCTCTGGGGAAGTGGAGGAGCTCGAAGTCACAGTTGGTCTCCGTGGTGAGGGCCAGGTAGAGCTCGACGTGGCCATCTTGGTCCACTTGGGCCTGTGGGGTCTGGTCCTGCCAGTCCACCCAGAGCCTGCGGGGAAAGGCACCACAGCCAGAGGCCCACCCCCTCTGCAGGCATATGCCCAGCTGCCATCCCCTGCCCTCAGGGTCCCAAGAGGGAGGGGGAACACGGGGCAGTGGAGGCGAGGCGTGCCAGTGCTCTGCCAGGGCCGCCGGGAGAGGGCATTCACTGAAGGCCTCGGGGGGAGACAGGGACATGCAGTGGCTCCTGGGACGAGAACTCACGCCTCCTGGATAGTGAGTTCCGGTGTCCACAGTGAGTCCCAGGGCAGTGTAAGCATGCGCCGTGGGTGCACACTCGCGTTCCAGGCCAGGCGCGTGTCCAGCCAGGACTGGGGACACAAGGACCCCACTAAGGCTCTGTGTGTGCGTGCCTCTCGGCTTGGCAGGTTGATGAAGACGGTACTCCTGAGCTGGACTCAGAGCGGGCTCTGCCCCACCCCCCCGGGGGCTCTCACCAGCCGGAGCAGCAGCATGGAGGACACTGTGTACCGAAGGATGTCCTGGGGAGGGGCAGCACGTCACCTGAGGGTTGGCTGCTACATGACACAACAGGGCAGGAGACCACAGCTCTCCAGGGACGTGGTCCCATCCCTTCCCGCTCAGCACTGGGGTCCCGCCCCTCCTGGACCGGAGGACACTCACCACGTTGAACACGTTTGTCACGAACACCTGCACATCCACACGCAGGGGCGCGCTCCCGTTGCCGGGAATCTGGATGGTTTCATGAACTTCCAGGGGTGAGTTGAGGTCGAAGAAAGATGGCCAGGCTGAGGGATGGAGGTCGAGGTCACCTGGGTGCGTTGGGGCCCAAATTCCAAAGCTCATGACCTTACAGCTTTCACCTACCAACCGCTGGTGCGTGGAAGCTGCGGCCCCGGACCAAGGGCCTCGTGGTGCCAAGTCCAAGCAAGGCGAGCTGGAGCAGGAGCCGCAGAGCCATCAATGGGGCTGCAGGGGGAGGTGGAGCAGCAGCGCCCACGCCAACCTCTGCTTCAGACACTTCTCCGGGGGACGGCGCAGCCGGTCAAGGCAGCTGCTCTGTGTGCAGTGACCCTGGAGCCTTGGGCTCGGCACCCCCACCCCACCCTGGGTTCTGCAAACACCCGGAGACAAAGCCCAGGACCAAGCCCTGCCCACCCTGCACCTGCCTGGGCTTCGCTGTCTGTCCCGCCCCACTTCCACCACCTGGAACCGGTTGCCAGTTCACGGCCAGCACGGAGCCGCCCCCATCCCCACCCGGCCTCGGTCCTTCGAATCTAGGCAGGTGCCTTTCTGCAGTGGGTGCCCGCCTGGCTAAAAACACGCCCTCGTCCAGTGCCCTGCACTCAACGCTGTGAGATGGGCACAGCTTGGAGGGGGACCTGCCTCTCCTGAAACACTGGACCAACTTCATGTGAAAAGCCTTGGCTCAAGGACTCGGGGGGAGAGGGGGGGACCCGGGGTCAGTGGGGGCTCATTCAAGGACAAAGTTCGCACCAGGTTCTCAGCCTGCGCCAGGCAGCAGTGCCTCAGGGCCGCCGGTGTGGCCCCGGGACAGGACCCGCGGGTGGGGCGCGCCTTTTCTGTCCCAAAGGAGAACCCGAGCTGTTGGAGACCTGGTCCCAGAGAGCTGCACTCGGGGAGGGGGGCAGACACCCCAAGGCTTACAGTCTGTAGGCAACACGAACGCTACTAGGAACATAGTGTCTGCGTCCGTCATCGACCCACTGTATCGAGTGCTTAACCTGCCTGTCGGTGCCACACGCATCGGCGGCGGCGGCGGGTTTGCCGATCTGTGGGCACCCGGCGTTTCCAGGTGGCCGCGTGCAGAGCCTTCGCCTGGCGCGTGCTCCCCAGCCTCGCGCATTCAGGGATTTCTACGCCGAGTTTCAGCTCCGCTGTCCTGAGCGCGCACTCGCACCCCATCAGCCCAAGTTCCCCTGTGAAGTCCCAGAGATCTCACCGCAGACCCTCAAGACACAGCGCGGCGCGGCACGTGAAACGGTTTGCGCATTTTATTAACAGACGAAACCATCCACCATCCCCCCGACCTCCGACTCCAGTCCTTTCACACACGCGCGTCCCCGCTAAGTCTCATTAACTGTCAGGCTGCCGTGGGCGACCTTTTGGTCCCGCCAGGACGGGCCCGGGACCTGGCACGAGGCCGGGACCCCG